ATGAGTACGCCCCCCTCCCCCCCTCCCCCCCTCCCCGCTCTCTCGTGTCGTGCATTCGTGCTGCTTGGTGTCCATGCACCTGTATGTCAGGCGGCCCACCATTCCTTGGCCGAGGCTGGCTTGAAACTCTCTTCGGTGCCGAGCGAATCACCGGCGGTTCTCGGCAGTAGCAGCGGTGTCACCGCCGCCAGAGACGATGGAGGGTTCCCCTCCCGCCTGTCCTACGGCGGGAAGCACGAGACGTTTCTGGGCGGGGTAGCCGCTGGAGAGGACCACCACTGTTACTGCTACCCGCAGCGGGTGTCCAGCCTGGGCGTGCCGTGCCCGTGCCTGAGGCCGCTCGGGCGCCGAGCCTCGCGGCCCGACGTCGCCACCGTTCTCTACGCCTCGAGCGCCGCCGTCCGCGAGGCGCTGCCGGTGTGGCTGCTCGTAGGGGTGGAGGCCGGAGGGTTAGGCGCGTCGCCGCCGCGAGTCGGGCTTGTGTTCGCGGCGGGGGCGCTAGTGGCGGCGGCTGGCGGAGGGGCATCGGGATGTTGCTGCAGAGCTCAATATCGTGGCGAGGCGGGGGGCGGCGACGGCGGCGGCGGCGGCGGCGGGGGAGGGGCGGAGCGCCGGCTCTTGTACGCAGTGTGGGCGCGGCTCGCGAGCGTGGTGGTCCTCGGGGCGGTTTATCTGCTGCCGAGGATCGTGCCCGAGGCGGTCGCGGCGGCGTTCATCCCGCCCGCTGTGCTGTGGCTGGCGGTCGCGGCGTTGGTCGCCGCGAATCACTCCTCGCTCGAGCTGTGCACGGCAGCGGCAGCGGCAGCGACGACGGCGGCGGCGGCAGGGGCAGCCTCGGCTGCTTCTTCAACAACCGGATCCCGGCATCGTCCCCCGATATTCGTCAGCAGGACTGCCAGCAGCAGCAGTCATGGCCCCAACGACGAAAGAACGAGATCGACGAGCAGCGCGAGCTGCGGCAGCGGCTTGGTTGGGGCCAGCCGGCGGCCGCGGGCGCGGGGTTTGTCGGTGGCGACGGCAAGCGGTTCGAACCTGTTCGTCGGGGACGTTCTCGGGTCGATCGCTGGGCCGTTGGTGCTCGCGCTCGCCATGTGGGCGGGACGAAGGTCGCCGTTGGTGCCCTCGCTCTGGCTCGCTTTGTGCCTGTGCGGGGACTTGTGGCTCGTGGCGGGCGCGAGGGAGGCCGAGCCGCGGCACGCGACACTGCTAGGTGGCGGAGAAGAGGAAGACGAGGAAGAGGAGGAGCGCAGAAGGTCGCGACGTTTCGCGCAATTGGTCTGAATGTTGACTAAGTCCACAGGGGCACCCGTGCTGAATAGGCCAGGAAGAACTTGGCAGCACGCAGCACAGCACAGCAAGTAATGCGCCGTTGTTCCGCGTGTGGTCGGTTTTTAGTCTGTTGGCTCGCGTTTGCATCACAGAGAGAATCCTGTTGTCGGGATCGTGAAACGACAGCGAGGCGGGGCGGGGGGGCTCGGTTGTTGTACGTATTTCACGGTCGCCGTTTAGCCTTTTTTCAAGAAAATCGTTGTTGTTTGTAGTAAAGCGGGGTCGTTCGTGATTTTCCCGTCACACTACCGTTGTTGTGTCTCTCCACCGCAGAGTTATTTGTTATGTTGTGTGTTTGTTGAGCTTGATGAAAAGTGCAGCACGGTAGTGCTTGATTGTCGTCCCAGCATTCTTATATTGGTGCTGGGATGGATGGCATGTTGTGAAGAGGCTGCTTGTAGGAACACAGGGGCCCGAAAGGAGGGGGACATAGACCGCCGTCCCCGCATGGGACCCCATTCTACCGTATCGTCTCTTTTTATTGGTATGACGCCAACCTGAACGCTCAATGCGTTTTCGTTGCACCTCATGCTGTTTAGTTTGCCCTGAAGAGGTCGATTGCTGTGCTTGACGTGGCCAAAAGCCGTTGGTCAAGAGCGCACGTACGTCCTACGATGTATGTTTGCGCCGTGCGATGCAGTGAGGCACAGTCTACCTGGCATGCTGTCATCCTGACAGCACCGGTCTCGCCTTTTCTGTCTGTTGTGTACTGCTTGATGGAATATGAAACACACCTTTGAATCTTCCTGAACATCGTGACGATGCGCCAAACAGCCACATTCCGATCGCGATTCTGTACAGTCGCACTCGGCATAAGTTTCCTCGAAACAAACAAAAGTTAAACAAGGAAGGATCTCAGGTACTTTTCTCTACACGAAAACACCATTCTTGCTTCGTGATGGGCACAGGTGAAATATCTTCTTGAACAAACGCGAGAAACCGTCAGGCTCCAACTTTTGAAAATTGTGGCCCACATCTTCGACATGGGGCTATTCCTCAGCCTCCGCCATGCATCGTGACCTGGGATACTTGTCAACATCACCAGCACCGACTGGCATGGTGGTACCCAACCACTCTCCTTCGCTACTTCAACACCAAACCACCACTTCTAGGATGCCGTGTCATTTACGTGCCCCAGATCTACACTTGGCCATGGATGACACAAACAATATGTTTCAGAGAGGTGTAGTCAGCGTCACAAGTCGAAAGACGCGCGGTCGGCGTCCCACAATCACACGTCACAAAACTCGACAGATGTCCTATCAGCGTCGCGCATTCGACAAATCTCCGCTTCTTCCGCGGGGGCGGCGGCGGCGGCGGCGGTAGCGGCGACCGTGCCCTTCCTCCCGCTGCGCTCCCCCTCCTCGCCCGCCCCACCCACCACCGAGCCGAGGTTACGCTCCACGACTCTCGTCCTCCCGGCAGCGTCCACCAACACCACCGTCGACGACCGGGTGCCGCGCATTGGCGGCCGCGACGGGGACTTCGCCCAGGGAAGCTTCAGCCCCAGGAGCCAGACCGTCGGGGGCATGCACACGCACTGGCACGGATCCCCGGCGAGAACTGTTCGGTTTAGGGCCCGGTATCCGTAAGTGCGGGCATTCGTTGGTTCACGGACGGACGCTATTTTTTGGTGCAGAGAGGAGGGTGTGTATCTTCATATCTCTCATGCCTTAGCTCTGTTAAACCATGGACAAGGCATCCTCGAAAGGACGAACGTTGTTTGTCCCCACAGAACCGACCATCGATGGCCTATCTTTCCTTCCTACTTTGCCGGGGGGGGGGGAGGTACCTACATATGGCCATGCTTTATGCACGCACTCACAAGGCCTTTTCATGGTACAAGTCGTCGAGTACCGTGAGGGTTTCAAATACTCTCGCATCGAGGGTGGGCCGCAACTACCTGCACATCAGGACACCTTCAGCAATCCCCCGTGGGCGCAAGACTCCATCGCCGCCCCAGAAAGCAACGAATGCCACGCGTCACACGCGCTTGACGCATTTCAGACAATGCTTGCTTGTGGCATACACGCACGAACATGAGGAAAATTCCACCATACCATATCACGTTACCACCACCCACGCAGGCACCCGGAAGGGTCTACACGGACGGCAATCCGCGTCGGTCAGTGTGTCGGAGGGGTATTTGGTCCTTCACGTGCCCGGTTTCAATCTTCGTGCCCATCATTCCTGCACGACTCTGTTCCCTATCAGCATCGTACACCTCCAAACCAGAGCCGCTGTTGTCTCGGAAGCGCGCTCGAACACACGCGATCGACTCAACCTCACGCTTCTTCTTCCCGTTCGGGCTCTCACGTGGGGTCTCGTCGGCAAGCACGTCCATGAGAAGGTCCACCAGGTCTTCCTCCGTTAGCGTCGGGTCCGCCGTCATCCGGAGCAGTACTTGCAGCACGCGAGACTTGCCGTGGAGCATCTGCTTGCAGTTATTGTTGTTGTTGTTGTTGTTGTTGTTGTTGTTGTTGTTGTTGTCGTTGTGTTGGTTGCGTGCGGTGATCGTGCACACGCGAAAAAGGCCAATAGACTGCAGAGCTTCGGCACTGGGGAAAATCGGTCCATCTACTCTTGCTCTCTCTGGCCTACGATTCCCCACACGCCGTCGGCGGCAGGTTTACACCATGGTGGAGTTCCACGTACTGCTGTAGCCATGATGATGCCAAAAAGAATCACGAAGGAGGACAAGCCCGCACCCCGACGGCAACCAGCACTTCGGAGAGTATTCACTAAGAGCACAAGCATCTGGCAACAAAACCCGAGGGGAGACTGGCATTCCACGAAAGTTGCCAGGAAGGGTCTTTCTTTATCCAGCCCGTCGTGACGACGGGCTCGAGGCATCCAACAAAAGCCAAAAAACGTGGGCAACACACGCGCAAAAAACAAATAATACTTGGAAGTATGATCCAAACCTTTGCCCACGGCTTGTCGAGAGTGTCGTTGCTGATCCCGTAGAAGCCGTGCGGAAGGCGGGTTATCCCGGCCTCGTCCCTGTTGCTCAGCAGCCAAGCGCCGCTCGGATCCGAGAGCACGAGGTTGAACCCGGCGAATCGCCGTCGCTCCTAAAAGTTTGTTTCGCAAGCGTTTGTTTGGATCCACCATTCGGCAGCGACGGGATCGTCACCCACACCTACCGCGTCTTGGAGAAAGCGTCAAGGCAGCAACATGCGAATGCGAGATAATTTATGTACTACATGGACCCCACAGTAACCCCCCCCCCCCCCCCCCCCCCCCCCCCCCCCCCCCCCCCCCCCC